CAATTGTGTCGGAACTCTCTCTACGAAATAATCCCGTAATATTTTTCTAAACATTTATTTCGATCATATTTGCAATAAAATCAAAGAACTGCTGAATAAACAAAATAAATGATATCTCTTATAAAAAAGAATAATTCACAATTTAATATTCCGCGTGTTATGTTATTATTACAAAAATTTCTATTATAATTTTTGTTGTTTCCTTTTCGTTGTAATTTGAAAAATATCCAATTGTGTCGAAATTTTTTCGAAATAATCGCGTAATATTTTTCTAAATTCTTTTATTCTTATTTTCTTCCATTTTATTAGAACGTTGTTCTGTTACAATAGCTTTTTTTTTGTATTACTATTTCTAGAAGCGATTTATTGTTTTATTATTTTTTTTTTATTTTATTGTTTTACATTCTTATTTTATTTGCAAAAAAATCAAGGAACCACCCTTTTTATTTCCACGTTTACGCGTACGTAGATTATAGTGGACAGTGGGTGGGAGTGGAGTGGGGTGGGTAGGGAGCCGGGGCCCGATTGCATGGCATCAAAATGTTCTTTTTTATCTATTCTTACTCTTTGATTGTCGAAGAAGAATTTCAGTGGTCGACGACACACCGTGGAATCGTACGGGAGGGGCACGTATTATTACGCACGAACGTAACTACGTGTCAGTATGCGACTTTTTTCTTGTTTTTTTTCTTTCTTTTTTATTTTCTCTCTTTTTTCTTTTTTATTCTTCATTCTGCATCTGATTATAGCATATTCGTTCGACGTTCGCAAATGCATATAGCATCGTTACCATCGAATTCAATAGAATTACGCGTTTTACGATTCTTGTTCTTCGTATATGCTACTGCATCAACGTATTGACTTATCGAGGTTTTTTTTTTTCATTTTTTTTTTCTACAAAAAAGAAAAACCCATTGATATCGCTAGAACCAATAATCGCGTCGATTTTATCGATTAGATAATGGAAAGAAAAGAAAATAAAAAAAAAAAAAAGAGAAATGATTGTCTTCTCTCGAAATTTCTTTTTAGGAGAAGAATTATTTCTTCTAATTCTCTTATTTCCGACAAGAAAATAAAATTAGATTAATCGTGATTAATTGATCATCGTTTACATTAATATTATTATTTTCCTTTTTTTTTTTTTTTTGTTCTATTATGATCGTTTGTGTGTGAGTGTGATGAGAAGCTTCGTAATGTTGTAATTAAATCGGCCACTGTGTTCTCAATTTTCTTTCGACGCATGACGCGTAAAGTCAAAACTGTAATATGGGGTATCGCGTATCCCATCGTATGAGAGGATGAAGGGGTGGAAGAAGGGGACATTTTATTTCTGGTATCGATTACCAGTCGTTTGTGGATTCATTCTTCTCTCATTCTAAACTCCTGTTTCCATGCGTATCCCATTTCTTTGCTGCATACCTTCGATTAAATCAATGACTTTTGACTTTGTTCAAACTAATCGAATACATTTAAATAACTTTTATCTATTTTTAATTAATTAATTAATCAGTCTTACACTTCGAATTTTATATTTTACAATTGTTTGTTGTTTTCTTTATCCGTCAGTTTTCAACGCTTTTAGTAAAAACACGTTTTATATTTGAAATTTATATTTTATTTAAAACAAAATAAGACAATTTTTTTTTAAATCATTTTTTAATCGCAACGGGGTTAACATGTCGATCGTAATTATTCGTATATTTTTAATTAGAATTCGCAATATATAATTTTGTTTTATTATTATTATTATTATTATTATAGTATAATATAGCTCGTTATAAGTAGAAAATTAAAATATAATACTAAGAGTGTAGAAACTTTTTTGGTAGAACGCTAATATTAATCTGAATAATTAAATTACAGGATCGATAGTTTTAATTAAAACAAAAAAAAAAAAAGAATAAACAAACCCCAACCACAAAATGATCGATAATGTTTCTTCGCAAACAATTTCACACTTTATTGTTTCTTTAAAATTTATCTTTTCACACGTGTATATATATAGTAATAATAATTATTAAAGTTAACACGAGATATTTAAACACTTGGAGGGAGGAAAAAAAAGAGAAAAAGATTAAAAAGTAATTTGTTATTACGAAAAGTATCTTTTTCAAATAATTCTATAAGCGAAATGGGGGGGGGGGAAGAAAACAAACATATATACATAGAAATCGTAAGAGAAAAATATTCGATTGTCAACATTTTTTACTTTGCGTATTTTTCCCGTTCGAAGAAGAAATAGTTCGATGAACTTCTAGAAAAGATTTTATCGGGAATAAAAACAACGCTTTCGTATATTTCCAATATTCCTTTTACTTTTTTTTTTTCTCGCTCGCTCGAATGGTATTCGATTGAATCCTTATTCAAATATTCGATTGGAAAATATAGAAAATAAGAAAGAAATAACGAAATAAGAAAACATTCGCGAAAGGATCCCAAAAAAAAAAGAAAAAGAAAAAGAAAAAGAAAAATCCATGAATTCATATAGATTTATTTTGCGAAAAAGTATTGAATTAAAAATAATATATTTTTACAGGTCTCGTCGGCGCAGCGGTAGTGGTGCATCAGATATACCACAACAACAACAACAACAACAGCAACAACAACAGCAACAGGAAACGCAAGAGAACAACAACGGGAGTTCACGAGGAAAGAAATTGCAGGAGGGGTTGGGTCCCGATGAGATGTGGGCTCGTGGTACCCTAGGCCATCACCGGGAGCTACCAGTCGATGTGCCCGACACCTTATTACAGAAGGCTTATCCCAATAAGGTAAAGAATTGCTCAACCGATTGTCGGAATGAGCTTCGTCGTCCCTGTAGCGCTAGCGAGTTAGACCTCTCCCTAAACGTTAAGAATGATATTATAAAAAAACGCACGACGGAGTCAAGATTTGGGCTAATACCACCACCACCACTACTATCAACATCATCATCACCATCAACAACAACGACAACAACGACAACGACAACGACATCAACGACAGGAACAACAACAACAACCGATCAGCGTGCTGATGTCACCGATGGCTGTCCACGTTCAATTTTATTCAACAACGGTGATAAAAGTAAATTACCGATGCACGAGATCGAATTAAAGATCGGTTTGTTGAAGGATAACGTTAAAGGGGAGGAAAACGAATTGAAAGAATTAACAACGGAATATTTGAAGATGGATAATAAGAAGTCAAATGGTAGTATATTGAAGGTTATCGAATTGAAGAAGGATCCAAAGAGTCCCTTCAGGGGCAATCATGTTGATAACGAAGGCGAGGAGGAGGAGGAGGAAGAGGAGGAAGAAAAGGAGGTATTGAATGAGGAAGCAAATGGTCAGAAAGAATCCAGCGTTGATATAGAGGACGAGTATCCTTTTGCCAAAGAAGATTATCCTACTATGTTGAAAACTTGTAGCGATGATTCGGCAAGTCCTCGTAGTTCGTCGAGCCGATCGGATAGTACAGCACCTTTAGATACCAGTTTGGTACTAAGGCATAGTACAGATGATGATAATAATAAAAAAAATAAAAAGGTTAATGCTCGTGACAAAGATTCACCAAGTTACGATGCTAGGCGAATCGATCTTGGTTCACCTTGTCGTCCGGTAGTAACCGAATTACCGATCAAAGTGACACCATTATTCGCACGTGCACGCGATCCAACATCATTCGACAATCCGGCATACGGTTTGCCTGATTTCCAAGACATCCAAGGTCTATTGATAAGATCCGACGAGGTGTCGGATTTAACGAGATTGATAGACGAACAGTGTACGGTACCAAGAATACCAACTAGTCTTCAGGATAGAACGCAATCCGACACGCAAGGTAGTGGTGTTAGTAATACTAGTACTACTACTACTACTACTACTACTACTACTACTACTACTACTAGTACTACTACTACGATCGAATCCTCGATGATGATGATGACACCTAAAAAAAATTCGAAACATCAATCAAAAGATAATAATAAATTAACATATAAATCGAAAAATCAGGATCATCTGATAATAGAGGAACGTGTTAATTCGACCGATGATCTATTAGGAATCGATTCGAGAAACAATTGTCTCGAATCGTCTTCTTCCTCCTCGTCTCATCAAAGATCGAAGAAAAAACGTCACCAACAGATATCAAGTGGTTATTCGACTTTAAGAAGTGAGATATCAAGCGATCTCGATTTTAACGATCGCAGTTATTTAGTTGTCAGTGGTAAAACTTATCGCGAGGTTGCCGTTGATTGTCCACCCGATTTCGTTCCGGTAACCAAGTGCCATCCGATTTATCCACCGCCCAATAAAACTCCCGGCAACAGTAAACACAATACGTTAGAACTTAAACGTGATCGTAATAATCACGGTGATAATATTGTCGTAAGGGAACCAATTATTACAACAAATACCACGACTATAACTACTACGACTATTATTACGATGACAACTACTAATACTAATACTACGACTACGACTACGACTACTACAATGAATACGACGATGACAACGTTTAACCCAACTACCATCACTACTACTACTACTACGGCTAACAACAACATATTCAACTTAGATTCTCCTAGACTTCGTTCGAACGATATTAATTACATGATGATGAACAAACCGCCGATCTTGTCATCGTCTTCCTCACCTACAACGTTAGCAACTACTGATGCTAGCGGTAAAGAAAACATAGTCACGCGTACGATAGACAGAAAGCACGAAATTAAAAAGGTAATGTACTTAAGTAAAAGAGCTTCCTCCTCTATCATGCACCAAGAAAAATCTTGCCGGCACGAACAATATATAAGAGAAAAATATTAATATTATTAATATTAATAATAATAATAAATAGAAAAACACACACACAAACAAATAAATATAATAATTAAAAAAAAAAAAGCTTCATTTAGATGCTTCCAGCACGAATCTTAGTGCTTACGATATTAGTTATCTTTCTAACCAAAATATTCTTCTCTCGCTTGAAGCAAGTCAATACTTTTAAACGGTTTTCCATTTGTTTGTATTAAATATAAATCATTTTTATGAATAAGAATAATATCTTTATATTAGATATTTATGAATCATTTCGAAGATCATGCTAAATCTTTCTTAGATATTTCTTTAGATACTTGTTCGAGAAAATAAAAATAATCTGGGATCGTTTTCACAAATATATTAAACTATCGTAAAAGATCATATTATATATCAGAATATTTATGATACATGAAGAAAGTTGTTCTCTAACCGAATATCCAATAAATAATTCTATTGAACTGAAATTGATCGTATTAGATTGTCTTCTACCATCTTTCACGATGGTTATTACTTTCGTAAAAGAATCATTCACTTTTACGTTAGTTTCGTTTCTATTTCAATCTAATACACTTTTATCTATTTCTTCCTACTATCGTAATACTAAAGAATAAACAATATCGGAGATTTACGTCGAAAAACAATACATACAATATAATAAAACCTTTAAACAAGAGACCACATAATGGTCCTTATTTCATTGTGAAAATATAAACCGTATAAAAGATTGCTTACAATTTTACAAAATTTTTCTTCCGTTGCATAACGTTTCGTTCGTACGAGCTGTTTATGCGAATATTTTCTCCCATTTCTTTTTTTTCTCGTATTTTCTATTGTTTATTAATATATACACATACTCAATTCTGTTTTTACATGAACTTTTTCTTCTTTTTTAAATGATTTTAATTATTAAACACAATCGATCGAAATTTTAAGAAACAAATTTCGAAAATTCACACTTTATTTGTATTATTTTGGTTCATTTTTTAGAACCGAAATTAATCTTTTATTTTTTGATAAATGCAATATATTTATTTATAAGAATTTTTCGAGAACGTATTTATCGTGTAAAAACAGAATTAGCTGTATACATATATATATATATTTTCTATTTAATAATATATGTATTTTCTTTTAACGTATCACAAAAAAAGGATAACAAAAAAATATTCGCATATTAGCTCGCGTCGAACGATTCGATATTATAAAGCATGGTGGGACGAATTTGTCGAGGACGTGCGATGTAGCATGGTAAAGTAGAAACTTTCTATATATACATATATATATTTTTTTTTTTTTTACTATACGACTATTCTCTACGATTGGAGGAACAGTGGTTTGTATCTCTTGTATGTTCTATCGTAGGAATTAGATGGCACGTTCCTAGTTTGTATATCTTTACTTTCTCTTAATCCTCTTCCACCTTCACCACCACTCCATAATCCAATGATTTTTTTTTCATCATTTGTATTTTCTTCTTTACTTTATTTATATATATCTTTCATTTAGATGCACGGCACGAGTTTGAAACGTAGCGTGCCGTGTTAGGGTATCTTTCTCGTAAAAGGGGTTTATTTTTCATTCTTTTATATTAATAATAATAATAATAATAATATTAGAAATAATGGAATTTGTAATGAATTAATTATACGAGAACATAAAAAATACAATCTATATTAGTTTCTTTTTCTTGCTTACTTTAACTTACGTATTTTTGTTTTCTTTTGTCTACTATCTTTCTTTCTTTCTTACTTTCTTACTTTCTTTCTTTCTTTCTTTTTCTTCTAAAAGTATTTGTCTAGATAGATTTTTGGGGAAAGAAAACTAAATAGAAAAAAAATAGAAAAGAAAAGAAAAGAAAAAATTCGTAGTGTTTTCGTGCATGGCCGAGCTCAAGGGACGATTAATTCTAGCCACTTTTTGGAATGGATTTTTAGGCCGGTCTTAATGGGGTCAAACCTGCCATCCCGCCCAGAGATCAAAAAAGGGCACCCGCTAGACCACCGAAGGATAGTCTCAGACTTTCGAGCCAGAACAACAACGTTGAGAGCAACGATTATGCTAATACCACTGAACCTACGCAACAGCAGCTTCATTCTATTAGAAAATATCAGGTATGTTGTGTATCTTTGTTATCTTTTTAGGATAAGTATGAAAAAAAGTTTATGCAATATATATGAATAGAATTTAAGCCACCATTTGAGGGATGAAATTTTAGAAAATAAAAGGAGACCCATGTTGCTCACAGAAAATTTTTCTTCCTATTTTTCCATTCTACAAAGTTGGTTCACGTTACACAGAAATTCTTTTTTCATTCCTTTTTCAATTGCACAAAGTTGGTTCACGTTATATTGAGATTGTATTTCTTTTTAAATTGCGCAAAATTGGGGTTCACGTTGCACAGAAATTCTTTTTTTCTTTTTCAATTGCACAAAGTTATTTCACGTTACACTGAGATTGTATTTCTTTTTAAATTGTGCAAAATTGGGGTTCACGTTGCACAGAAATTCTTTTTTTTTTTATTCCTTTTCCAATTGCACGAAGTTGATTTATTTATATTCATAAAGGAATAATGTAATATATAAAAACATATACAATTAATAATAATTCAATTAAGTTTGATTGTTATACAATGGGATTCAGATATATCAGTGTGTACATTTATGTATCGAAAAGTTGGGATATTTTTAATACCAAATTGTGTCTCAAAAAATTAAGAAAATTTAAATTCAATTTTTGTCGGTGTAATAATGAAAACAAAAAACCATTTTATCAAACTCGAAAATTGGTTCATTTTGAAGCAAATTGTTTCTCATTTCTCTTATGTGTTTGTTATTATTGCAGAATATATAAATCCAATTTGATTAACGCGATTAGATAGAATGAAATTATAATATTTGTTTTGTGTTTTCAATCAAACATAATTAATTTCATTCACGTCATATGTGATGCAACTTAAAGATTTGGATAACATGTTTACGTCTGAAGAATTCGAAGTATCGACTTATTTTGACCGACGCAACGATGTTTTTATCAGTGACCGTTGGTAAACATCTCAATCAAGTTTGCGAGCTATATTCGTTTTCCTTCCAGCAAATATTTATGGTGGTAAAAATGGCTCCGAGCAGTCTCGTACCGAAACTTATGAAGATTGACACTTAAACGATTATATTATTTCATCTAGTTTAAATCGAATCTTTTAAGATATATAAATTTAACAATACATTATTATACTTTATATTTTAAATTGTTAAATCATTATCATACGGATCGTATTATTTTATTTATTGTTAAAATTCCTTACTTTGCCGAACATATCGTAAGACAGTAAAAACATTTTGAAAATAAATAACGAACATTGTGTTTGATCATTTTTATTATTTATATATTTTTTTTTTATCTATGTATACCATCGGTCAATGTTATTTTATCTCATGCATAAAAGTATAAACAATTTTCGATATAAATAAAAGAAATCAATTTATTAATCGTTTATATATAATCCTAACAAAATTATAATTATAAATTATTGATTAACGAGATATAAAATGAGGAAAAATGAATAGATTTAAATCTTATCTTCATTGAAATAACCAAAAAACAAAATTTGTGAACACGGTACTAATTTAATTCAATTTTATATCGATTAGTAAAGTGGTCAAATTAATTTTAATGATTAGATTATACACATACGTATTAATCGTAATTATTGTGTACAGTATGTTAAAAAATATTGATTGGGTATTAGTATTATAATTAGTTTCCAAAATTAACAATACGTTCGTTCGAATAGTAGAAAAAAAAAAAAAAAAGAAAGAAAGAAAAAAAATAAAAAGAAGAATAAAACCATTTCCCATCGGTTGTTTCATTTGCATGACAATAATAGAACAACATTAAACGACAAATGATTATTCGCTAGGAGACAATCTAGTAACCTGTCCGGTGTTCATGAACATTTCGACAGGAAATCACGGATGCGAATGCAACAATAGCTAATGGAAACTGGTTGTGCCGTAATACGGTAGTCATACACAGTTGTACAGTTTCCGTATTTCCTATTTGGCATGCTAACGGTTGTATTTCGATCAATCGAACGACCAACTTCAAACTATCTTTACTTTTCTTTCGTTAAATGTCTTTTACCGTTAACACTTTGGTGACACGGAATTTTTTCAAAAAAAAACAAAAAAATAACAAATCCGTGTTGCATAGAATAAATTGTTCTTTCTATTTTTAAATCGCACGAGTAACACAGTTAGTTCACGTCGCAAACAGAAATTTTTCTTTCCTTTTTTAAAATTGCACAAAATTGGTTCACGTTCTAAAGGAATATTTCTTTCTTTCTTTAGAAAAATTCTTCAAAGTTTGTTCACTTTGCGCGATAATTGTATTTCTTTTTAAATTGCAAGAAAATAGTTGATTCAAGTTACAGAGTAATTGTATTTCTTTTTCAATTGTAAAAAGAATTGATTCGTGTTACAAAGAAATTGTATTTCGTTTTAAATTGCACAAGAAATGTTTCATTCTTTTTAATTAATACAAAGTTATATTTATTTTTTCATTAACACATTGAACCATGTCTTTAAGTTATCGCAACACGTAAGCATGTTTTAAACTTTGATATACTTTTAACAAAACATAGATAACGATTTTGTACAAAATCAGATTAACAAACACTCTATAAAAATCAATTGAAAAGTTAATATATATTTCTTCGTAAAACAATCACAATGTCTTAATAAATAAATAACATAATATAAAAATACAACATATATAAATAAATAATAATAATTCAATTTTAAGTTTTATTGTATTATAGGGTGAGACTCGAATAAATCGCATTAAAGAGTTGTGAGATACTTTGTTTCCAATGAACTAACACACAAATACAAATAAAATTATAACAACGTATACGATCTTTTTATATATTAGCTCAGAATTAACTTTTTTTTTTTTTTTTCTATAAATTAATATCATCCCCTTTTTTTTTTATTTCTCACTTTTCTTACACGTTAGTAACAAGAGTCTAAAATATATATAATAAATGTTTCAACTTGAAAAAGTAGGGATTTTATTAGAACCCTCATATTCTCTAAGAAGTACTGTAATTTAACGAAGTAATAAACGTTTAGAAGTTAATACGTTTCCCTTGGAACGAGGACGATAAGATTTTGCGGCACCGTAGTAAGATCGTTTCTACGGTAATTACATAGTCGTTAATCGTTATCCTCGATTAAGATCATTTCTCTTTCTCTCTCTCTCTCTCTCTCTCTTTCTCTCTCTCTCTCTCTCTCTCTCTCTTTCTCTCTCTCTCTTTCTATTTGATTTTCGAAAATTACAACTATAATATTCGAAATAGTTATTCATAGAAATTGGTTAGAACATTGAAAGGATTTATACGTGTTCCTTAAAAGTGAAAAATATTCTAAGAAAAATATAAAAAATAGAAAATAAAAAAAATAAATTAAAAGAAAAGAATAAGTTATGTCTCTCTCTTTCTATTTTCTTTTCGAAAGGTACGACTATAATATTCGAAATAGTTATTCATAGAAAATAATTAGAACATTGATAGGATTTATATGTGTTCCTTAAAAGAGAAAAATAGT